GAAAAGGCAATACATGAATGAGTGTGGGGGACTGAAGGAGGGGACTTCACAGAAAGGATAAGGGTTGGAGGACAGAATTTCACAGAAAGGATAATGGCACTGCTGAATAATAGTAATGGCAGACACAAGGTGGGAAACAATGAATTGGATTAACCAGGCAGGAACTTATGTTTCTCCAGTGCAGTGGAATACCCAGATGGAGTACCCTGCACTCCCAGAATGGGCACTGACTGCCCCTTGTCAGGGCTTGGCTGAGAGAGGATGCCAGGACCTGCAGGGACTTGGTTCCCCTTTCTCCCTCAGATTCCCCCCAAGACCCACTGGTGCATGGCAGCTTGTTGGTCCTGTGTGCTGCACACTTGCAGACTCCATGGTAGAGTTTCCTGAACCCTCCATGCGAAACCTGCCACGAGACTGAGAGTTTCTGACAAGTTCTTGCATTAACGGTGGGGACAGGCAGTGGGATCAGCCAGCTCTCCTAAGACAGACTGCCCGCCAAGTGCAACAGCAGGCGAGTCCGAGAAGGACCTCTCCTCATCAGGAGCCAGAGACCACCCATCCAGCTTTGCACACTTCTGCTTTACCCAGCAGAGACCTCAGCCCCAGCACGGCCTGGCCACCACCACCCAGAAGAGATCCAGCACCCCTCACCCTCCCTCCTTCCCCAGCTCAGGGAGAGCCTTACGGGACAGACGGCTGTTGTCAGACTGGTTACTGCTCTGGGTGCTTGTGCCTGGGTCATCCCTCTGGATTTGCTGCTCTTTGCTGGCAACAATCTCTGGTTTTGGGCGCCGGCCTGTGCGGAAGGGAGAGGTGGCATCAGTGACACAGAAATGTGGCTCAGAGTTTATTTTCTTTGCTCAGAGCAAAGAAAATATTCCCAGCCACGATTACGAGGTAAGTACTCTCTGGACTGAAAGGGTCCTGGGGGTTCAAAGCACTCAACTTGCAGGCAGGAACTAAAGCTAAAGGGGCAGGTTTGTTTGAATGTTAACAGGTCCACCTTGTATTTAGTTTTCTAAAACTTTTAATTGGTTTTCTTGAAATGTCGCTAGATTTCTGCCTGAGAAGGCAACAATGAGCACAAGATGGGGACCTGAGGGGAGATGTGAGCAAGCCCAGCACCATGGGGAAGGTTGCTACAAAGGGAATGCCATTCCCCATACCTGCTGGAGACATGAAAAGCAGGCAGGGGACAGGGGGACTTGGTGTAGACTTTTGGAACATCCTTTTAGTGGAAAAGACAGCTCAGCAGCAAGCAGACTGTGTGGGAAGGCTTGGAGTTTCCTTTAGTGCAGGACAAGCTTTTAAGGACAGATTAGACAAACACCTGTCAGGAACAAGCCCCGCAGGCTGATCCTGTCTCCAAGCAGAGGAGGGATGAAATGACCTCTTGACATCCCTGCCAGAGCTATTTTCTACAGTTCTGCAGGTGTCCAACTGAGACACTGAGGGAGGAAGGGACTTACTCCAGCCCAGACAGACCTGATTTTCCCCATCCCGTTTCAATCCCACCCTCCACTTTCCCTTCTGACAGAGCTGCTCTAAGCTGAGGGCAGATGGGTTTCCAGAGCAGAAACAGTGCTGTCCTCAGGCTGGTGCCTGTGCCTCAGGGCTGGGGCAGGATGTCTCAGAGGGGCCCTCCCCTGACTCAGAGTGAAACACCCAGGGAAAGGTTTGACCTTTACCAGTCCGGAAGGTCACCATGGCCGTCTGTCCCTCGCCGGCACAGTTGTGAGCGGCCATCTCCACCTCGTAGAGGCTCCCAGGGTCCAGCCTGGTGAGGGTCAGGCGGTGCTGCGAGGCTGGGACATCCCTCACTGCCCAGCTGTCCGAGGCGTTGGTGACCTGCTGAGAGCAACGCAGGAGTTGCAAAGCTGGGGGCAGGCTGGGCTAATTGCCTGCGCCAAGCTCAGAAACTTTCATGACAGGTTGTGCATCAACCAGGGCCTTTCCTGTCCGGAGGCCGGTTCCCTGCCTGCAAAGGCGAGAGACGGTTTGAGCTTGATTTTGCAAAGCTGAGGGATTCAGGTATAAGCAAGACAAGTCTCCCTGTTTTCCTGACCCCAGAGGCTCACTCAGCCGCACTCTGTCCGCTGGTCCCCTGTGATACCACTGCCCCTCAATGTGTGTGTAGCTCTGGAGCAGGCATGCCCACAAAGGGCAGCATTAGCCAGAGGCTCGGGCTGCTTTAGAAGCCAAATCTCTCCTGCAGCCAAGATGCTCATTTAGACACTGGCCATTTCCATGGGATGAGGTACCTGGACACCACTTTGGTCATCTTGTACCTGAAGGGGCCTACAAGAAAGCTGGGGAAGGACTTTTTACAAGGGCAGGTAGTGACAGAACAAGGGGAAATGGCTTTAAACTGGAAGAGGGGAGGTTTAGATTAGATATTAGGAAGAAATTCTTTCCTGTGAGGGTGGTCAGACACTGGAACAAGTTGCCCAGAGAAGCTGTGGATGCTCCTCCCTGGAAGTGTTCAAGGCCAGGTTGGATGAGGCTTTGAGCAACCTGGTCTAGTGGAAGGTGTCCCTGCTGGTGGCAGGGGGGTTGGAACTAGATGATCTTTTAGGTCCCTTCCAACCCAAACCATTCTTTGATTCTATGATCTGGACCTAAATCATTTGACTAATGGCTTTCTATCCAGTTTTATCCAGCCTCACCGCTGGCACTTTCTGGCTGAAATGAGGAACCACAACGTTTGAGCACAGATTTCTGTGGCAAGAAAAGTATATGGCAGTGGCTCCCAGAAAGGCTTGGAAACACAGTCTGTTTTTTTGGTGATGCCCCAATGCCCCATGTGGAGGGGGAGGGAAGGTGGAACCTTCTTCCTTCTCCCCAGCTGCAAGGATAATATTTTTGCAGGCTAATAGGCAGGACACTGAAGTGACCCGGTGCCGAAAGGAGCATTAGCAATGCAGGCAACGCAACAAAACGGAAATGCCAAGACTCTGCCGTATCATTCATCCTCTCCAAGCGTTTGACACTGACTGATTAATGCCTGCCTCGTTTTATTTTTATTCCTGAGCTTGTGGAGTTGTGAGGCCAGGGAGGGGAGCCCTAAAGACTGCCAATATCCAGGAAAGAAAAAGAGAAATTCTTAAGAAACAAAGATAATGGCTGCATGGCATCTAACTGCTCACAGGCTGCTGAGATTTTAGGGAGCAGGGGAATAAGAGACATCCGCAGATATTCTCCAGAGCAGAAGCAGACCCTTGCCAGTAAGCCTCCTGTCAGTAGGTTTTACTTTCCTTATAGCCAACTTTCAGACAAAGAGCCTTTTCTTTTGTTGCTGAATTGCTTCCTTCCCTCTCCGCACACGTGCCTTTCCAGTCAGAGATGTCAAAACCAGATCATTATATAACTTGATCCTACAGATCTCTGATAGAAAGAGACTCTTTCTAAACAAGTTTAAGGGTTATTGGGACTAATTCCTTTCCATACAATCCTTAAGCATCCCAAGAAAGAGTCTCCAGCTGAGAATTTGGACTACACTGAAAACGTATTACTGCAAACTGCAGTGACCCATGGTGACCTCCACTGCCCTACAGCCCCTTCCAGGTGAAGCGCTGAAAAACAAATAAAATATGGACAAACTCCAGCCTGCAAGTTAAGATCACATGCAGAATTGGTAGTTACATGATACACCACTGGGGGACAAATCTCTTCTTGGCAGACAACCAGAGACAACAGTCTGGTGAGGCTTTAGGCATCTTTTGGTTTTTATTTAAGCTTGCCCTGTTGTGTTCTTGTGTTGGCATCTTCTGCCTTTGTTTCAAAGGACTCTTTAAAGAGATGGTTAGCTGAAACTCAGCTTAAGTTTTGTTTAGAAAGAAATCAGGGATGTGTAGGGGTTATAACAGCCTCCTGTTATACCATATTGTCACAAAAGCAGACAGTTCCAGGAAAATAGATACATATATTCACATATAATTGAGACTGGTGCCTCACAGTGGCTGGGAATCCAAAATATCCCAGATCTGGAATGTACTCAAACCCCAAAGCAAAACCTGATACTCTGCTGTAACTCCTGACCTACCCAAACGACATACAAGTGGCAAGCAGATAAATCCAACCCCTTTTCTCCCCACTTATCCCCACCAAAATGAGAAGAGATGCTCTACACCTCAAAAGCAGCATTTTTACCTCAACAATGCTTTGCTATTTAGAGAAGCTGGTAGGTGACAGCTCTGCCTGCACTCTGCCCATGGCGCTGAGAAGCACTGCGGAGGGCAGCAGCCCTTGAGCTCAAGCAGGGCTCAGCAGCACACCATGTGCTCATGCTGTGCCAACAGCCAAGTGACACGCTCAGCAGCGCACTGCCTTTCAGCTCCCAGAATAAAACTGGTGGTTGTGGACCTTGCCAGAGGATTTAGCATGGCTGTGACAGCTCTCTGCCAGCTCCTCGCAGTCACTGAGCGCGGGTGCTTCAGCGCTGCTGAGGAGGGCAGGTACGTGCAGCAGACAGAGGCTGCTGCTCTGTGTCCTGCAGCCCGAGCCTTTCAAAGCAGAGGTGTCCCCGTGGCTTGTGCCAAGACAACAGAGCAAGTCACTGCACAATCTGCCCTCAGGCCTTGCTACTTGTGAAAGCACGACACTGAGAACTGGAAGTTCTAGAGACTGGAAACATCTGGGTGTGCATAAGCCCTCTGTGTATTTAGGCAGACAAGCGCACCGCTATGGGCTCAGCAAACCTCCTCTCGCAGCCTGAGCTCACCACACCTCAACAGGCTGAGGCTGCAGCTGAGGAGGTCCCACCAACCAGCATCACCAGCAAGCGATGGGTGCCCCTGCCCCAACGCACCTGCCTGTGAGGTGTGAAAACGTGCAATGAGGCCACCAGCCTGCACGTGGAACGGGGCAGAGGAAAGATGACAGCAGGGCAAACCAGCGATACCTTGCGGTGCTTCACCACGTAATAGAGGATGGGGGCTCTGCTGTCCGGCCGGGGTCTCCACACCAGATCGTAGCTGTCCGTCTTGGATGTCCGGGGAGAACTGAGGATGATGGGGGCCTCGGCTGGAGACACCAGCTCCCTGTTGGCTGTGCACTGTGGAGACGCTGCCAGCGGGGTGGTCCCAGCCTTTGGCAGTCCCGCTTTATCCAGGGGCAGCTTTAAGGCACTGTCCCTGGAAGGTGGGGTCGGAGGCTGAGCTGAGCCCAGCCAGGCTTCTCGCCCGGGGTTGAGTGTGGCTCCTGAAAGACAAGATGTTGAGAGTAAATGAGTGGTGCAGGCAGGGTAAATGCCTGCTCCAGTCTGCAGTGAAGGCAGAGCTACTAGAAGCCCCTTGAACCTTTTTAGAAGACCAGAGCTACACCCTGCTGCAGCACAGGTATCTTACAGGTATCAGGCCCCAGGAGGTGCTGCCTGCTGTGCCACTCAAAAAGGTGTTGGAAACAAGCTGTCCTTCTCCCAGAATAAACCTAACACACTTCACTTGGGCCTCTCCCAGAACAGGCCACATGGCTCTTCCTCTCTGAAGCCCCTGTTATCCTGGATAAGCTCAGCAGGGCCCAAGGAAGCAGGTGCCACCTCTCTTTACCCCAAGTGAACCCACCCACATCAGTGTTTACGTTCTTCCTCAGTGCAAGCTCAGAGGCAGAGAGCAGAGTGAGCCAGGGGCTGAGGCACTACACCCAGATGTCCTTTGCCTCTCACGTAGAGATAACTCAGGTATGCAGATATGGCACTGCACTGAGAGGCAAAACTGCTGCCATCTGTTCCTACGGGGTGATACAGAGATCCCAGTCCAAAAAGCACCCAGAGTGTAGGGTGAAAGGGACGGGAGAGCGTGGCAGCTCAACCACAATCAGGAGGGTTACACACCAACTGTCTTCTCC